CGATCTATCCAATCATCCTTTATTTAAGGAAGAACCTCAAGCCTTCACCCCAAGCAAAAATGATGAAAAACAAGAAATTGCTTCTAAAAGAAAAGACGAAAAAAAAAGTCATCATCGCCTACCATCCCAAAGGTGCTTTCAGAGAAAAACATTAAGGAATATTTGCAAAAGTACAAAGCATATCATGGCTCCTTGTCAGGAATCGAAAAGACAATGAACAGGAAACAAGCGAAAAAGATTATTGATTACATCGACAAGCATCATAATTATGATTAAATCATTCAATCAGTAAGAGAACATCAATTAATAATAGTTAATATCATTATTTAGTTTAAAGTACAGTGTTTCAGTACGAGCATGCTCAAGAGTCCTCAACACTCCTGTCCAAAATCGTTCGTAAATTTGTCATAGGCATGTAAGTCATCTTTAGAAACCGATGGTCTGGCTGTTCGTAGTGCCTTAATGAAATCTCTTTTGTGACATCTGGTGGTAATAATTTGTCAGAAGGTACATCAATCAAAGTCATTTCAATGGCATTTGGATCTCCAGGTGAACATGGTGTTAACATGTCATCGCACATTTGGCCAGTCAAGTGACAAACTCCTGAAACTTTCTTGAAATGTGTGGCCAATTGGCAAGTACGAACTGGTTCCATCAATGCATTTCTAACTAAAACAGAAATATCAGACCCAGAGTATCCATCAGTCATAGATGCTAATTCTTCAAAATCTTCCTTCTTAAGAGTATTTGGAGTTTTTCCAATGTGAATCTTAAACATGGCGATTCTTGCTTGCATATCAGGTAGAGGAATATAAATACGTCTTTCAAATCTTCTTCTGATGGCAGGATCAAGGCCCCATGGAATATTTGTTGCTGCCAAAATTAAAACTCCATTGTCGTCCTTGCCTACACCTTGCATCTGCACGAGGAATTCGGTCTTAATTCTACGAGTACTGTCGTTATCATTCTCTCCTCTAGAGCTGCACATACTGTCAATTTCGTCAATAAATATTATACTTGGTTTGTTTTGTCTGGCCATATCAAATAACGATCGTACCAACTTTTCTGACTCTCCTTGCCATTTACTAACTAAATCTGCAGCAGAGACAGAAAAGAATGTTAATCCAACTTCTGTGGCAACAGCTTTGGCAAGATAGCTCTAACATAATCACAGTTAAACATAAAATTAAGGTATTAGATGTTGTAGAATGACTTACCTTACCGGTACCAGGAGGTCCATAGAGTAAAATACCTCGCCATGGCGTTCTTTTACCAGTAAAAGCTGTGGAAATTTGAGTGGCAGAATGACAGCTTCTTTAAGAGCTTCTTTAGCCCCTTCAAGACCTGCGACATCATCCCACTTGACGTTTGGCTTTTCCTTTACAATAGCACTCTCTAATTGTCCCATTAATTGTTGTTTTTCATCCTCTTCCTTTTTTTTCTTTTTTTGATCTGTTAAAAGTCATACTTTTAGCATGTAAATGTTGTCTATTAATGAAACTTACTTTGCTTTAGCTATTGATCCTACAGCACTGGATCCTCCAGAAGAATCACTATCTCCCTTTTCAATTTCGGCTTTTTCTTTCAAGAATGTTTTGATTTGTTCTGCTCTATCCATGAGTTCTTGAACTTTTGATTTTAGCATTTCTTTTTTCTTTGGATTTTTTGTTTCATCTATTTTTGTGTTTATCGGATCATTATGTATCGTGCAGTAGACATTTCATAAATGTTGTTATGATGATAAAATTGCATTCAAATAATTATGAATGTAATTTGTTGCAAAATATTTCAAGTCGTCATGGTCATCATCAACATACGTTTAATAGCGGTCATGAAAAA